ACCGGTATAACACCGATTCGAGGGACCGTCTACCGAGCCGAGGCCGGATCGTTGTGCTTCCTTTCCCGGTGCCTAGTAGCAGCGGCGTCGACGACTGCGGGCGTCTGCGGCGTCGCTGCCACCTCGAATACGTTGCCAAACACCCGCACCGGTGGTCCATTCTCCGCGTGGATTCTTCGCGGCACGTACACGGGCATCGGGAAACGGAAGTCTCGGTTAATCCGGGGAGAAAGCTGCGGCTAACGGTTATCCCACCCCTTTCCCCGAAATCGTTCGCTCTTTGATTCCACCTACTCGCGACGACGACTTTTAATCAATTATTCCAACACGCGCCACGCGACCTCCGCGAAACGTCGTCGACGTCGTCGTCTTCGTCGTGGCGCGTCCCGCGCTGCGGAACAGCCTGCAGCCTACGAGATACGCTCGTTACCTCGCCGCAAGGATAATCGCGAACGAATAACGCGGAACGGTATAAACGAGACAATAGAAGCTTAAAAGGTAAATATGAAGATCGATGACGCGAGCGCAGGAAGCAGCGGCGAGGCAAGAATCGTGCGCTCGAAAGGATCGAAGGCGAGCCACCAGCCGGAAGGGGAGGGTCGGCCTCCGGGCAAGGGTCCGAAATCAATCAAAACATTAATTGAAAGAGCCGAGAAGACAACGGCGCCCGTTCGGCTAAGGCGGTAGCTACGGATGGTCTTGATAATCGAAAGATATCCTGGCCAATAGCCGGCACGCCCGACCAACGACTACCAGAGTGAGACGAAGAGCGGAAGAGCCGGGCAAAGGGAGGAGAGAGAGAGAGAGAGAGTGAGAGAGGGCGGAGGGGTTGAAGGGAAAGAAACAAAGACGGACAAACAGAGAGGTGGATAGAGTAGCGGCGAGCGGGGCAAGGGGGAGGAAGTTTCTTCCTCGTTCGTTGGTGTTCGGAACGCGAAGGAAAAGCAGGGAAAGAAAATTCGCGGCACGAAGAGAGACGGTGGAGCGGCGCGACGCCGATAGCGAGCACAGCCGTGTCGAGGAGAGATGGGTGAAACGTTTAACAATGGGAACAAAGTCTTTTTAGCCCGGTGACACGAAACGAGCCGTCATTGTTCGCGGTTTAGGGCGCAGAAACTCGTCCGCTATCCCGCGGATCGGAACGGGTATCGAGGGTTATACGGGCTCGTAGGGTCACGCGTAGGCAGGTAGTTAGATAGGTAGACAGGTAGGTAGGTAGGTAGGTAGGTAGGTAGGTAGGTAGATAGGTGTGGAGGTTGCAACGAGTGGCGAGGACGCGAGGATGGCGCGCGATCGCGGCCACCCCTGGGGCCAGGCAGGGCAGAAAAATTGTTTATCGGCCTGGTAAACTCGATCATTCTGGTCAGTTGATTCGATTCGTTCGTAATGTACCGCAACCGCTGCTAATAGTACACGGACAGTTAATGAACGCGATCTCTATTCAATTGTGGACTGGCGTTATTAGTAGAAGCGAGCGTAGCCGCTTTATTAATTAATGAATCGATTTTAGTCGGTGGCCGGTTAATTATTCAACGTCGGTCGGCATCGGTGCAACTGCAAATGGTTCTTTAATGATCAGGGGGACACCGATATTGCGCGTTGCCGCGCACCGACCGTTGCTCGCTCTCTTCCTTCTATTCTATTCCGCTCTCTTCCCTTCCATTCCGCTCCTCTCCGATCCTCTCCGCTCCTCTCCAATCCATTCCGTTCCGTTCCGTTCCGTTCCGATCCGTTCCGATCCGTGCGGTACTGTCCGCGCGGATAGGACTCGTCGCGGGTTACCATCCTGGCAGCTCTACCTACGGCCCTATCACACGTGTGTGTACGTTCGATCGAGCCGGAGAGCGCGGATCGTGACCGGAAATCGTGAGCGTACGCGCGGCAACGATCTTCCCGGGGGGTCGATCGATGTTCCCGAAATTCGCGTAATCCTGCCCGATTACCTTATCGAATAGCGAACGGCCGGCCGGCGAACGAAACGAATTAAAGTTCGAGTTAATTATATTCGCGTTTGCGTGCGGCCGCGGCCCGCCCACTCGGCGGTGGCGAACGGAGGGAGGCACGCGAAAAATTAGACCGGGCCGCGATGGTGGCGGCGTGGAAGCGGCGAATTTCCAAGAGGCGAGGGGATTCTTACGAAACGTCGAGAAGCGACGGCCAAGCACCGCCGACACGCGCGCGGATCACGCCGGGAGATATTCGAGCCGAGTGGAAGGCAGCCTGAAAAATCTTGTAAATGGAATATCGGGGGCCGACGCCCAGAAGGACGCGGCACTGCCACCTGGCGGAGTGCCCAAGGACCCACGGGAAGCTTCAATCGCCGTAAAAGCAACGCCTCTGGATCTAGGGACGGGAACCGAGGGAACACAGGGTGTTGGGGGGTTAGAAGTTAACTTAGAAGTTCGCGGGTGAATCGCGTGGACGCGACGAGGACGGAGAATCGAGCGTTCCACGAGAGCTGTGGCGAGCGTGGGACGCGACGCGACGCGACGCGGTGAGTCGAGGGCGCGAAAGAGAGAGAGAGAAAGAGAGAGAGAGAGAGAACGAGAGGGAGAGAGTGGACGACGAGAGGGTAGAGAGAAGAGGAGAAAAGGATAGCGTACGATGGTCAGTCCCGGAGATACACGTTCGACCGGTGCACCCGACTTAAGAGGATTACATTTGATATTTCGATCGGGCAAAGTGGCTTTTTATTGGACATTCGCCTCGGAATTATCGCTGACGCGTGTCGAAAGACATTACGCGTGGCCGGCATTATTAAATTATATCGCAACCGACGGCCCCCTATAATTTCCTCGGCATCGCCGACAGATACCTCGCGCGAACGTGTCACGCGTCGTGTCGCGGAGCGATCGCGGATCGTTCGCCAAGACGTTAAGCCGCTTTCCGGCATCTCTCTCGTCCTGCCGCGTTTTCCACGCGTAACAAAAGCCCGAGAGGAGGAGAGAGGCCGCGGGCAAAAGGGGGAAAGAATCGGGCGCTAATTGCGGCACGGCCGGTGCGTGTGAGCACGGAGTGCGAGTACGGCGCTGCGGCGTGTAAAAGGACAATCGTCGCGGATCGTTCCGCGCGTCTAAGGCCGCGACGCTGTGCGTCGTGGTTACACGGACGCGCGAGCGGTGCCGGTGCCACGGCAGCAACAACATCGACGCGACGCGACGCGACACGAGGCGCGGCGTCACGGTCATACTTCTGCTTTTAGCCGGAGCTAATTAGCTGCAGCAATTTGTCGGTGTAAAATAAACGTTTGCCTCGCTCCACCGTCTCCCTCGCTCCAGTTTTCTCGATTTATTTGCGAGCTGCGCGCCGACCGGAGTATGCCTTCGACCGCACACGCTCGCGTACGTACACCAGCAGCGCGTCCCGTCCAAAGGCCTCCTCTGTCTCCGCCTTCGCCACGACCTCTCCCACCCCCACCACCCCCTTCGTCTCCCGCGGACTTCAAACGAAATAATTAAGTCACTCGGTTCGGGAGGGCGACTAACGAGACCGCCGCCGCTACTAAAACTGGCGCCAATTATTGAAATTCAAACGACCGGATACCCTCGCGTCCCACGGCCCCGCTCGGGGCGGCCAACGGACTGCCCCTTGAATATCCGGTCGCGGTGGATATCGTGGTCGAGAACGTCTGGACGAGGGACGAAGGACGACCGCGGGGGGAGAGTGGAAACGGATAGATCGAAGATTCGACGAGATAATTCGCGGGGCGTGGAAAGAAATGGCGTGGATTTCGCGAGAACGGGAAAATATTTATACCGACGCGCTCGTTGGCTATTCGCTGGAGGATCGATCGAATACGATACCGGCGTAATTCGCGAATAACGCTTCCGTGAATGAAATTTTTTTCTCCTTTTGTCTACGCTTCGCGCGAGCGGGATAAACATCGGGTGCGCGGCGTATCAAAGTCAATTAAAGCGAACGACCGGTGTCCCATTCGTAATAACAGCGGTATCGTGTTATGAACGCGACGAAACGTCGCGTTTCGCACGGTAATTCCGGCCGTTGATTGAAAAAAATTCCCGTTCGCCGCGAGCCGCTGTAATCGAGCGCCACCTCGTGTCGCGAAACTTAGCGTAGCAATGTGCCAGCATTTGACGGGATGCAGATTAAGCACGCTTCTAAGGAATCGGTATCGCTAACGGCAACCATACGACCGCGTTGCCTTCGCTGCTGCGGGGCGACGACGAGGACGAGCGGAACGGAGTCAATGTTCGATGACTAAACACCACCACCGTTTAAGCACGCTTCTAAGGAATCGGTATCGCTAACGGCAACCATACGACCGCGTTGCCTTCGCTGCCGCGGGGCGACGACGAGGACGAGCGGAACGGAGTCAATGTTCGATGACTAAACACCACCGTCGTCGTCGTCGTCGTCGTCGTCGTCGTCGTCGTCGTAGTGGTGGCGAAACCGCGAGCGGATCGGGCATCGGGAAAAATAAAATATCCGCCGATAATGGTGAACGTTTCTCTCGCGTTCTGTGCCCGATATCGAACCAGCGCGTAATTTTCACCTTTCATTCGTCCCACGGCCATTTTTTCATTTGCCACTTTTCGCATACAAAGCGGATTACGCGGAATTTTATAACAATTTTCGAACGACGCGGATTGAGCGGGAACAAACGCGCGCGCGCGCGCGCACCCACGTTAATCGCTCCACTATGGAAAGGGCAAATGCGGTTTTCACCGGAAGCCCCTGTTAAATTGAACGTGTGATCGTGCTCGAACCGGACTGGCCGAGTGGAACTTGTGAAATTTGAATTACACGCCGCATCGCGAATTCCTCTCTTCCCCCCCCTCTCTCTCTCTCTCTCTCTCTCTTTTTCTCTCGCGTCTCGTTTATGTCGTCACAACTAGGGGCGATATTTAGACAACCGGAAAAATAAGGAGGAGAGAACGTTTAAAGCGAAGCCATAGGCCACTCGTTAATCGGGGACACGTTACGCGAAGAAAGATGGTAGCGAGAGTGATCGTAATTTATGAAAATATTGCGTGACTTACCTGACAGAGTTCGAAGTCCGAGCCAGTTTCCACGGATACCTCGCGCCGTGCACGGTTGTCCAGATTCCCTCCGTCACGTGACACTACACCAGCTGCACAGAACAACGTTCACTGTTTACTATTCGACTCGCCATGAAAAATGAGAACGTTCGACTCGACCGATACCGGAATACAACGTAATATACGGACCGTGAGCGAAGCTGCCTTCGACCTCGAGCGCGACTCTGTTTACTCTACCGCGATACGACGGACATCCCGCGTCCTTTAAACACCGTGAACGAGGAATCTTGGAGCAGACGACGAGAGTCACGAAACCTCCCGCTCGGCGGTCAGTTGTAAACTACCGAGTACCGCGTGCGACCGCGGCACGCCACCGAAAGTGATAAATCCCCACTCCTGCGACCGGTCGCCCCTTCACGCGCCCCACTCCGACGCTCTCGCTCCCACCATTCGCCGGATCGCCACTCCGCCGTCGCTGCTCCATGCTTCCCCGCCCGTGCCGTTCTCCCCACCACCGTCAGTCACACTCGACCGTCATCGCACCCGTATCCGAACCCGAGGAACTCGCGCGAACCGAAACCCGTATTTGCACCAGCCATCAAACGCAACCCGCACTCGCTGCCCCCCCCACTCCGCGGCCACCTATCATCGAACCATTTACGCTGCCGCGCAGTTTAACTGCTACTCGAGCGAAATTCTCGAGGCAACGAGGAACGGGAGTTCGCGTTTCAAGCCGATTAAGACGATGATCAAAGCGCCACAGTCGTATCGGTGCGGAATATGTTCCCACGAGTCGAGTGCGGATTCGATCGGAAGGAAATAAGGGGATCACGACGGAGTGGAGGTCTTTTTTAAGAGATGGCTCGACGATTCCGCGACATTTGACTTGTATATTCGATGTAAGTTAATTAAAGGCGGGAATAACGAAGTCGACCGATGCGGGTCGTTGGAATGGCAAAGGAGGAGACTCGTCGGAAACCGTAGCACGATGCGCGATTTAATAACCACGCGGGCATCGGTCGTAGAAACAGAAGTGTCTCTAATTACCGTCCTTTCGAGGATGAAGCGACGAAGGAGTCGCTTTGTGTCGCGACGAAAGTGTGCGCGTAAACGTGTACACGCGTTGCGCGCGGCCGAGTCTCGGAGCGAGGGAACGACAGGGAAGGAAGAAAAAGGGAAGCGATAGAGGATGAGGGGGGGAGAGAGATAGAGAGAGAGAGAGAGAGAGAGAGAGAGAGAGAGTTGGAGAGAGGGTAGCGTGGTGGATCGTAACCCGAGTCGAGACATAGCGACGGAGGATTAACCACCGAAGCGGCGTGCTCGCATCGTAGAATTCCACCCCTAAAATCGCCCCTACGAACCCTACCATTGCTCGACGCGCGGCGAACGCAGGGATGGCATCCCTACTATATGTCCGGTTCTCCCGTCGGGAGACGCGTCTACCACCCCTACGAGGCCACACCTCCCATTACAAAAATTACACTGGTCGCTGATTTAGTGTTCTGCGCCGGTTCTTGGGGGGGTGTCCGCGGGGCAAAGGAGGAACAGAGGCTCGGGAGCTACCGTGGCGCGCGAGGGTACCCCGTGGGTAGGGTGGGGACGTAAGTAATGAAAGGGTTGCCGCCGGCTTCGAGAATCACGGAATCATTCGCCAGATTAAATTAGAAAGGCTACGACCTTTTTTCCACTCCCATACTATCCACACCTATGAGCTACCCAGCGCGAAATGGATTAGGCCATGTTTACTGCCGCCATCGACGATGGTCTCTTTTAATTACCGGCTGATTTATGGCCGGCCACTGATTAAATCAGGGAAAAGAGTGGATTACTCCCGCCGAATGACATTTCCGTGAACTTGTTCGAATCGACGTTATACTTTTCTCCGTCCGTCCTCCATCTACCACCGGTTTCCCGCCCGACCGACCGCCACCCACCCGCCCATCCACCCACCCGGCCATCTACCGAACGTTCCCGATCGGTGCGCGGCTAAATTTAACGTCCGCCAAGTTTCCGGTTCACGGGAAACGCGTCGCTCTATTTTTCGAATCGGGATTTCGACGCGTCGGTTTACAATCCGCATCCACCCCCTTTTTTTTCGGCCGCACCTACCCCCTAGCCACTGCATCGCCATCATCGCCGCAACGTACACGCGCACACGTACGACCCGGTCCCTTTGCCGCTATTTTTCGCGAGAACGAAATGAAATTGGGGCGATTGCCAGGTTTCATCCGCGATCAGCGACGAGAAACTATCTATGTCGAATTTAATCTCGTAGGACGCGTCGCGGGAGGCGGCCGGCGTCGATGCTTTTAGCTCGACCAGTCGGATACTCGCGTCGTCGTTGCAGACGCGTGCGAAACGCGTGGTTGCGAGATCGGACTTTGGAAAAAGCGATGGAAATACTTGGAAAAGAGGGTATAGAGGGGTTGCGATGCGAATCTCGTTGGCGAGGGTTCGGGAACGGTTTTCTCACGGCCATTACCGTTGTTGATCCGGAATCGTGGCGCGCGCTCTCCGACGACGAACCGAAATCGTGACCGGTCGAGAGATCGAACGGTACGAGGGATCTAGAACGATGGACGGACGGACGGACGGAAAGGAAGACGTAGAAAGTGGTGAAAGGACGAAGGGTAGAATGGGAGAAAGGGAAAGGTCGGGCTAGAGAAAAGGGTGGAGAGAGGGGGAAGATGGGAAAGGTACTAATCACTTCTAGGGACTTTAATGGAGGTTTTCTGTACGCCGTCTACTTTGTCCACGACTTATACTACTTCGAATCGGTTGGAAGTAGAGTATTTGGGAGAAAAAGCAGGCGGAGAGTAGCGTTACGTGTATTAAACTAAACGGCACTCGGCTGGCTCGACCTCTCTCTCTCTCTCTCTCTCTCTTTCTCTCTCTCTCTCTCTCTCTCTCTTGTCTCTCGAAGAAACGTTCCGTGTCGATGCCGAAATAAATTCTACGGCTGCCACCCGCACCCCGTGTGCACGACCCATTCGAGTTTCGCCCCGAACGGATTTATTTAGCGTTCGTTAATTAAGAGAGCCCGCACCGGTTTCAACTTCTAAATTCGATCGAGCTTTTCTTCGATAAAACCTAAATTTCCCGTAGTCACGCGATACACCCTTCGCTCCCCCGTAATTGCCGGGATGTTGCGCCGAAACAGGGAAACACAATTCAACGTCCGTTCCCGTTAACGAGACCGTAACGATAATTACGTATTCTTGTTTCCTTTTTCTCTCTCTTTCTCTCTCTCTCTCTCTCTCTCTCCTCCTCGCCCTCTCTCTCACCCGAACTTTCTCGTACGAAATTCGTCACTCGTTCGATACACGCCGAGGCGGGTGTAGGTGTACGGATCGGATAGGTGGTCGATAAGGTCGGAAACCGGTGCCGCAGCGTTCCGAGGCTCGAAAATCGAGAAGCGAATTCGGAAAAAATTTGATGGCCAAGTATACCGTCGCTAATACCAACGAGTCCTGGATATCGATATCCGGACCAAGGCTTTCTCGATGAGCAAGAGGACAAACACGCGCTCGCGCGCGCGGATAGACGTCCCGAGCCCCGTTTTCAAAGTTCCCACTCGACTCGAAGTGCATCCTCCTGTCTCTGTTCCGCCGAACATCCGTCCGTCCAATACGGTGGAAGGTAGAGAGCGCGTGTTCGCGCTCCGCACGCTCCGCTCCCGTGGATTTATTATGCATGGACCTGATGTATCGGACATCGGCCGGACAGCTACGTGGAGTGTGCCCGGACGCGTGTGTTAGTGCCGCTCAAGTGGCGTTGCCCATCAACGAGGAGGTAGACGTTACTCTCAAGAGTGGACCGGGAAAGGACGACTGGCGAAGGATAAAAAGAAAGATGGTGCGCGACTCGGTGGGAGTAGATGAGAGTAGCCGGACTACCTCTGCCCGACCACCACGTTCCTTCTCCGACGCACCTTTCTCCCCCGCAATTCTCTCTTTATCCCTCGTACCTCCTGTCCGTCTGCGAGCTAACTTCTATTCGTCTACCACCACCACCGCCATCACCATTGCCACACCACCATCATCGCCAACACCACGAACGATCCTATCCCCCATCGTGACACGCGAGCCGCCGCACGCGAATCGAATAAATTTTCATTCCGGTCGATTACTCGTTCTCAATTATTCCTCGATCACTCCCGAACGTCTTGTTTTCTCGTTGCCGCACGAACGGAAGTTACGCGGGTATTTATTTACCGATCTAAACGGGCTTCACGGGCCCCGTCGTCGAACCGGTCCCCGAGGCCGCCGATTCTTCCATGTCCGAAAGCACGCGCCGCGTGTCTCTTAAAACAAAAATAAAGAAAAAACGAGAAAAGAAAAAAATGCACGCCGTTTTGCATCTCCTCGGGGGAAAATATTTGCGCAGCGAGGTCTCGCATCGGTGCACGGTCCGGTCGCGGCCCATCCGACGCGAGTTCCTACACGCTCGTCCCGTTGTTGCCCGTTATCCAAACACGTAGGTATCCAGCCATCGTCCTCCGTGCAACGTGGAATATTTTTTCGAGCGTGAACTCGGAAAACAACCGGTCAGTTTTTCGCCTATTAGGCGATACGCGTGGCGCGAACCCTGGCTCTGCGATCGATCCAGATTCCGTTTCGAACGACGATCGGTTTCCACGCGGCAATCGCGAGAGAGAGAGAGAGAGAGAGAGAGAGAGACTCGGGTGGCCGATACGCGTTGCGGATTTTGGAAGGACGCAGCCCGATGGCATCGATGCTCGTGTGGCACAGATACTGAGAGCTTTTCTGGAAGAGCAGGGGTCCATTAGCCGACTCGCCTGTCTTCTGAGTCCATTACAAGATGAGCCACCATCCCCCCGAGCGTCCTACCCTCCGTTTCCAACTTACTCAACGATACGGTACGATCTATACCTACTGTATAGATACGTTTCTCCCTCTCGTCGCTTTCTCCTCTCTTTCTCGCCACTCCACCCCTCTCCGTCGCCTTCTCCCACCCCCGGCACCCCTGCCGCCTACTCACGACTTCTCGATCCTTCTTGTCCGGCCTCTTAATCCTTTTTCTCGCAAATAGATAGCGGCGTAAAAGGTATCGGGCATTACTTCATAGCGTC